GGGGGGGGAAGGTCCCGGGACTGGCACGGGAGGGTCCGGGTGGGTCCCTCGGGGGGCCCTCGGGGGGGGGGCCTTGGGGTCCCCCCGCACCCCCCCGCTGAGGAACCGGGGCTGGCGTTGGGCCTCGCCCCCATCCGCGGCCTCTCAAGGCCCGGCCCGGCTCGTCCCCGATCCAAATTTTGGGATACCTGCGGGGATGGGGGAGGGATTTTCCTTCCCTGGAAGTGAAAACAGCCTCTAAAAATCCCCCTTTCCCCCTACAGTGTATTGCAGGGGACTATTTTACAGATCTGTTTTACAGGTGCCCGGGTGTGGCAGGGATAAATGGGATTAATCCCGATTTTTCCCCCTGAACTCGGGGATGTGCCGTGGTTGAGAGGGAGCCCCTTCTTTCCCTGGAAGGGAGAACAGCCTCCAAAAATCACTCCCGGTGTTTTGTGTCCGAGCGTGACAAGGAAAAAGCAGGAATTAACAGGATTAATTCCCGGTTTTCCTGCTGTGGAGCCTTCTCCATGAGGCTCTTCCCTGAACTGTGAGATGCTGGAATGGCTGGGACATCCCTGCCAGTGACAGGGGGTCTAAATTTTGGGACACCAAGCTGACAAGGAGTCCTTTCCTTCCCTGGAAGGGAAAACACCCTGGAAAAAAAATCACACTGTTTTCCAGGTGGCTGTGTCCAAGTGGGACAAGGAAAAGCGGGAATAAATGGGATTAATCCCCGTTTTTTTCTCCTGTATGATGCTTTTCCCCCAGATTGTGAGATGCTGGAATGACTGGGACATCCCTGCCAGGGCCAGGAGGGTCCAAATTTTGGGATATCTGTTGGGATGGGGGAGTCTTTTCCTCCCCAAATGGGAAAACAGGGCTAGAAAGAAATCACCCCCAGCGTTTTCCAGGTGGCTGTGTCCAAATGGGACAAGGAAAAGCAGGAATAAGTGGGATTCATTCCCATTTTTCTTGCTGTGATGTTCCTCTACGAGGCTTTTCCCTGGATTCTGAGGTGCTGGAATGGCTGGGACATCCCTGCCAAGGCCAGGAGGGTCCAAATTTTGGGACGCCAGGTTGTGAAGGGAGCCTTTCCTTCTTCCAAAAAACATCATTCCCAGTGTTTTATAGGTGGCTGTGTCTAAACGGGACAAAGAAAAGCGGGAATAAACGGGATTAATTCCCAGTTTTGCTGCTGTGGAGCCTCCCTGTGAGGGTTTTCCCCGAGTTGGAACCTCGGAAGGGAATGGAGCTGGGGGAGGGAGCTGGGAGCTGAACTCTGTGCCGGTTGGGAAAGAGCATTCCCGCTGTTCCAGAGGGCGGGAAGGGCAGTTAGGGATGTGTGGATAAGAGATAACAGGGAACACTTTCCCTTGTCAGCACTGTGGGAACAGCCCGGGGCGGGAGGGGGTCAAATTCCACCTGGGATTTGCGGCTCCTCCAACCCAAATCCTGGGCAGGGAAAACTTGGAATTGGAGGGAAATAAACCCAACCCTGGAATCCCAGAGCCCCTTAAACCGAGGCTTTCCCCAAAATCCCTGGAAGAGGATTTGGTGGAAGTGCTTAGGGCTGATCCCGAGCTGCTCCTCCGGGGGGTGGAAGTTGATCATTAGGATCAATTAACTCCCAATAAACCCTAAATGAGATTATGTGTTCCTCGGGATGAAGGGACCTGAGCTCCTGGGCTCTCCCTGCTCCCGGTTTTCCTGCATGGAACCACCTCCCTCAGGGCTCTCTGCTCTTGGCAGCACCTTGGGAAACGAAATTCCTGCTCCTGGCAACCCTCTGCTGCTCCATTGGGCAATTCCCGAGCCTCCCTCCTGCCTTTTTGAACCTGCTGGGGCAGAGCGGGAGCTCTAAAACCTTGGGATGATTCCACAGGGGCCATCCCAGCGTTTGTGGGGCTGTGATCCCGTGGGATTTGTGCGGGAATGTCACGGTCCCAGCTGTGCTGCTGGACTGGTTCTGACTGGGAGCCCCAGGAAGTCTCGGAGCTCCCCCACAACTGACTCCTGGCACATTTGGCTCCTTCCCTCCTCCTTCCTCTTCCCTAGGGAAGGATCACGTGCTCCAGAGCGTGGTTTGGGGTTGTTTGTTTTTTTTTGGGAGGTTCCTCCTCAGCTGGAAGCAGCGGGAGCTTGACCCAGCTCCAAGGGCAGCTCAGTTATCCCAGAAATCCCGGGTTCCCTCCATCCCAAAACTCCTCTCCGCCGCGCTTAACCCTTCCCGTGCTCCCCGGGGGCGGTGGCACGGCTGGAATCCCGCAGGATTCCAGCGCCTGGGAACCGGCGGAGCGGGATTTTGGGAGCCCCAACCTCTCCCCTCGCCGCAGCTCCAAGGAATTCCGGCTCCAGCCGAGCTGCGCTTCCATGGGAGCCGGGAATAATGGCCGGCATTCCCGGCACTTGGCAGCTCCCACGGCCTGAAAAGCAAAACTCCAGGAATGGGGAAGGGGTGAGGGCTGGCTCCTCAGGCATCCATGTCCCTCGGGGGTTGGGATGTGATCCCGGGTGAGATCCTGGCGCTGTCGGTTCATCCCAAAAACCTCCCTGCGGACGATCCCGCGGCCGGAGGTGAAACCGGGACACGGGAGCTTCCAGCTCCCCCTGACGAGTGTTCCCGGCCCGTGTGTGCACGGGGGGTGTGTCTCCGTAGGGATTTCACCGCCTGGATCGTGGATTGGTGGGATGTGAGGGGGGTTATCCCGCTGCCCTGCCCCCTATTCCAAGCCCTGGCGCCGCGTTCCTGCTGTTGGAGAACGGGAATTGCTGCAGGAGAATGTGATGATGGAGCAGGGTCCAGCAGGATCTCTGTGACAGGACCCCAGGGAATGGCTGGAGCTCTCTCAGGGGGGATTCAGGCTGGATTTTGGGAAAGGTTCTTCCCCCCAGACACTGGAAGTCCCCCAGGATTGGGTCACGGCCCCAGGGCTGCCAGAGCTCAGGGAGTGTTTGGACAACACCCTCAGGGACAGGGGGGGATTTTGGGGTGTCCTTGGCAGGGCCAGGAGTTGGGCTGGACAATCCCTGTGTGTCCCAGCTCAGGATATTCCACAGTTCCAAGTGGAACACCCATGTCTGGAGTTAACTTGCTGGGATGGATGGAGGCAGGAGGAAAACAGGTCCCCTCTGGGAAGGGGCAGCAGGATCCTGGCGTGGATTTGTGGTTTTCCCTGGATTTGGAAGCATCCTCGTTATTCCACGGATCAGGGAGGGCAGCTGGGTGGGGCTGGGACAGAGGTGGGATGCAGAGTCTCTGGAAGACCCCAATGTGCTGATCCTCCTAAATCCCTTTTTTTTTCCCCCAGATGTTTCCCGCTGGGCTCTGGCTCCTCTAGGATGTTGGAGAACCGAGAGGAAGTAAGACCCTTCCTGATATGATAATTCCTGGCTGGAATTTGGCAGCACAGGGCGGTCTGGGCAAGTCGGAGGGTCCGTGGGGCAGAGCTGAGGGGGAATGGGAATGTCTGGAGCTGTGTGTGGGAGCTGTGTGTGCTCTCCCTGGGACAGGGAAGCTGAAGGAGGTGGAGGGGCAATCCCTGTCCCTGGAATGCCGGGGGGGCTGAGCAGGGACACCCCTCCTGCCCCCCCAGGAACTGACCACGGTGCGAGTGCAGGACCCCCGCGTGCAGAACGAAGGCTCCTGGAATTCCTATGTGGATTATAAGATCTTCCTCCACGTGAGTCGGGGGCTGAGGGACAGGGGGTGGAGCTGCAGAGCCCGGGGGTTCACCAGTGGGATCATCCAGCACGAGTGGGATCATCCAGTGGGATCATCCAGCGTGAGTGGGATCATCCAGCACGTGGGGATGGAAGGAGCCCCCACGGGAGAACCCTTTGCCTTCTGTGGGTCTGAGACCCAGCGTGGAGGGGACGGATCCCTGAGTCCCTCTTCTTCCTCCCTGCCCCCCAATCCCACGGACAATTCCCATGGAACTGTTGTTTCAATTCCCATGGAACTGTTGTTTTCTTTCCCAGACCAACAGCAAGGCCTTCACTGCCAAGACCTCATGCGTGCGGCGCCGGTACCGTGAGTTCGTGTGGCTGAGGAGGCAGCTCCAGAAGAATGCTGGCCTGGTGTAAGCATTCCTTGGCCTGCCTTTCCCTCCTCCTGCTGCTCAGGGAGACCTGGGAGAACCTTTCTCCCTGCCCTGGGTGAGCTCAGAGCAGATGTGGAGATAGAAACCCCGGGCAGGAGCAGGGGATGCCTGAGCTCCCGAGATCCAGGGGGGATACCCGGGTTCCAGGGGCTTGGCAGGTGCTGCCACGGCATCCCCTGGATCCAGGGGCCTGGCAGGGTGTCCCCTGTGCTGGCACTGAGGTGATCTAAGCCCTGTTTCCCCCCCAGGCCCGTCCCAGAGCTGCCTGGAAAATCCACCTTCTTCGTGGGCAGCACGGACGAGTTCATCGAGAAGCGGAGACAGGGATTGCAGCAGTTCCTGGAGAAGTGAGTGCAGGGGGGAGGGCAGGGAGGGCACAATCCCGCTGCAGGGCTGTGAAGGGTGACTCTCCCCCTCCTCTCTCCGTGCCCAGGGTGGTGCAGAACGTGGTGCTGCTCTCGGACAGCCGCCTGCACCTCTTCCTGCAGAGCCAGCTCTCCGTGCCCGCCATCGAGGCCTGCGTGCAGGGCCAGGGCAGCCAGACAGTGACAGAGGCCATCCTGCACTATGCCATGTCCAACTGTGGCTGGGTGCAGGAGGAGGAGGGGCGGCCCTCAGCGCTGCCCGGGCGGGACCCGAGAGCCAGGTAAGGCCAGGGCAGGGAGGAGGAGCATCCCAAGGGCATCCACAGCTCCTTGGTGAGGGTCCCCAGCTCCCTGGTGTGGGTCCCAGTGCAGCCCCAGCTCCTCACTGTGGATCCCAGTCTAGCCCCAGCTCCCTGGTCTGGGTCCCAGTCCAGTCCCAGCTCCGTGGTGTGGATCCCAGTCTAGCCTCAGCTCCTCACTGTGGATCCCAGTCTAGCCCCAGCTCCCTGCTGTGGATCCCAGTGCAGCCCCAGCTCCTGCTGTGCCCCCGGAGGGGGCAGGAAATGGCCCAGGGAGGGAGGAGCATCCCAAGGCAGCCCCAGCTCCAGGGAGGGGTTGTGCCAAGGACATCTGGAGGCACGGGGGCACCTCAGGCCCTGAATCTCCCCCCAGATCCCTTCTCCCCTCTGACCTGTTCCCCATTCCCAGCTGTGCCGGGCTGGGAAGCCCCCAGAGCTGCCTGGAGAGTGTCCCGGACTGGAGCGACTTCGGGGCGGACGACGCGCACTCGGAGAGCCCGGAGGAGCCCCCGGGAGCGGGGCAGGACACCCAGTGACAGCCCTGGGGACACCCCCTGCCTTCCCAGGACCTGCTCCCTCGCTGGGAGAGGGGGCACTGTGGGAGCAGGGGGATGACAGGGCTGCCCTGGGCTCATCCCGGGCTCTCTCCCTGCTGATCCCGGTGTCCCAGGCGGTGTTGGCATCGCTCTCCTCCCGCAGGAGGGATCTGGTGGGTGGTGGAACCTGTTGTTTGTTGTTCCCACGGCCTTTGCCCTCTGGCTGGAGCAGCAGCAGCAGGGCTCAGCGGGGTGGCAGTGCCACCTCCCTGCTCCTGGCACATCCCAGGGCAGGGTGGGATCCGCTGCCCGAGGGGAAAAGGGCTTTTCCTTGGTGGATCCAGGGCCGGCCACTCTCTCCAGTTTAACCCCCCGTGTTCCCCTCCCTCTGCAGCTCCTGGGGAGGGCAGAGGGGGCTCAGCTGCACCAACCCAGAGCCCACACATGGGATGCAGATCCCACATCCTCCCCCGGGGTGCAGATCCCACCCCTGGGGCCTCTTGGCACAGCTTTCCCTCCCTGCAGGTTGGTTTCTGCAGCTGGAAAAACGGGAGCTGAGCTTCCCCCCGGGCAGGGAATGAGTCGGGGGGAGCACAAGGAGGGGAGGGGGGCAGTTTGTCACCCCTGCCCTGGGAGGGGGTGTCCCTTCCAGCTGGGCTCCTGCCACACACAAGGAGCTCGGATTTGCTGGGATAAGAAGGAGCTGCTCCTGCTGCCCCTCCCCGTGTGGTCCTGCCCCGTCTCCTCCTCCCTTCCCAGCCCCGGGTCAGGCAGGGCTTGGACGTGCTCGGACTCAAAATAAAAGCGGGAGAAGCTGCTGGGTCCGGCTGGGAGCTGTGGGCGGGGGAGAACTGCGGAGACGGGGATTTTGGGAAAACCGGGAGGGGAGGATGGCACCTTCCCCACGCCCCGGGCACCGGGCAGGTCCCTGGGGTCCCTCCCGGGGAGGGCAGGGATGAGGGTCTGCCCTGAGCTCTGGGGGGGTTTTTGGATGCACCAGGGAGGGGGAGGGAGGCAGGGAGGGCTGGAAATCCCTTGGAGGCGCATCCGAAATGTCAGGAGAAGTTCACGGCCAAGGCTGGCAGCTGCCGGGCCGCGGGAGCGCCGCTGCCATTGGCTGCCCTCCCTCATGCATATTCATCCATATTCATGAGCGCGAGGCTCCAAATGGCGCAGCTGTGAGCCCAGCTGTGCCCGCGGCCCCTCTCCGTGCCCACCGACCCCTCTCCGTGCCACCAACCCTTCCCCGTGCCCACCGACCCCTCCCCGTGCCCACTGATCTTCTCCATGCCCACCGACCCCTCTCTTTGCCCACCGACCCTTCTCCTTGCCCACTGACCCCTCCCCGTGCCAACCAACCCCTCTCCGTGCCCACCGACCCTTCCCCGTGCCCACCGATCTTCTCCATGCCCACCGACCCCTCTCTGTGCCCACCGACCCTCCCTGAGCCCACCAATCCCTTCCCGTGCCCACCAATCCCTTCCCGTGCCCACCAATCCCTTCCCGTGCCCACCGACCCTCTCCTTGCCCGGGCACAGCCTCCCTCAGGCACGACCCCCTCAGCCCAAGCCGTGCCCTGCCCCCGGCTCCCTCCCGGCCCCTGGTTTGCTCCCGGAGCATGTCCTGGCACTGCCAGGAGCCGTCCAGCCCCGGGGCTGCCCCTTCCCGAGGCGGGTTTGGGAAGGGCAGCCCGTGGAGCTGCTGCAGTGAGGGCTCCAGCCCTTCTCCATCCCCTCTCCATCCCTTCTCCATCCCTTCTCCATCCCTTCTCCAGCCCTTCTCCAGCCCTTCTCCAGCCCTTCTCCATCCCCTCTCCATCCCTTCTCCATCCCCTCTCCATCCCCTCTCCATCCCTTCTCCAGCCCCTCTCCAGCCCCTCTCCATCCCTTCTCCATCTCCATCCCTTCTCAAGCCTCTCTGATCCCCCCGGGGCCGCAGCCCTGTTCCTGGCCGCCTTTCAGGGATTATTTTTAGTGCCAGTGATCGGCTTTTGCGGAGCTGTCGGGAAATGGTGACTCAGGGGCTGCCCAGGCTGGGGGGGGGGGAGCAGCCCCTGGGCTGGGGGGGTCCCACCTGGGGGGCAGAGGCTCTTTGGGGGGGGGGGGACTGTCCCCTCTGCCACATATAGGGCGGGCTCAGCCCCTCGTGCCGGGGATTGGGGTGGTTGGAGCCGGCCCTGGAATGCTGGGGGGGTCTCAGGGCTGTGGTGGGCACACGGAGCTGCCCAAGGAAACCTTCCCCACCTGGGGCAGGTGAGGGTGGTGTGGCCCCCTCCCTGTGCCCTCAAGAGCCTGGCACAGCTCCCTCCTCCCTGGCTGCTGCCAGAGGAGCAGCCTAGAATGGGGCCAGGCTCTCCACATCCTTATCCCTTAGGAAGGCAGCTCCTTCCCGTCTGTCCTTCCCCCTCCTCGACACCCCGTGCCAGGGGCTCCTGCTCCAACCTGGAGCCAAAGCATCCTCTCCCATCTCTCTCTCCTCTCCCATCTCCACAAAGATCTCTGGAGCCCGGGATGAGGCCGTGGATTTGGGATCAGGCTCCTGAGGCCGTTTCCCACACGCTGGGCTGGGGTGGATACATCCAGGCAGCCCCAAGCCCTGATCCTGTTTGCTCCACAGCATCCCCCTGCAAAAAACATCCATTCCCTCCTGCCAGGATCCCAGAGGGCTCCCGGGAATGCCGCTGGAGGGATGGATTCAGGCCCTGCAGCCCCTCAGAACCAGCAGTTCCTTACGAGATGCTCATGGAGGGGGGGATGGAGACAGCGAGGGCAGAGCTGAGGGGGAATTTCCCTGCTCGGGGTCACCCGTGTTGTGGAGAAACGGGGCTGGAAGAGCCACCTGGGAATGCCAGAGGGATTTAAGCGAAGCTCTTGGCACCCCAAAAGCCCCCCCCAACATGGTGGGGGTTTATTCCCCACTGTGAGCAAAGCTGGGATGAGGCAGTGGGCACTGGGATGGGGCTGGTGAGGATCCCATGGGATGGGGATACATCCTGGTGAGCATCCCATGGGATGGGGACACACAGATCCTGGTGAGCATCCCATGGGATGGGGACACACAGACCCCGGGGAGCATCCCGGGCTTGGCTGTATCCTCACCATCTCATGGAATCCCCCCCCCGGTTGTGCCCGGCTCCAAACATCCACCCAGCTCCAAACATCTGCCCAGCTGTGCCCTGGAGCTGCCCCTCGGGCTCACCCCCGTGCCAGGGGGGGGGTCTGGGGGGAGTTTGGGCACCTCCCCTGAAGGCTGCGGGGAGCGGGGCCCTACCACCATCTAGCGGCCCTTCAGCCAAGTGCGGGGGGAGGAGGAGGAGGAGGAGGAGGAGGATGTGCCGGGCTCAGCCGAGGGCTCAGCGAGGCCCGGGGGGCTCTGGGGGTGCTCAGAGCTGGGGAAGGGGAGGGGGGAGGTGGAGCCGAGGGGCATTTCCCACCCCCCGCTCCGGCTCCACCAAGTCCTGAGGGGCCAAGCACGGAGAGTAAAACAGCTTTATTGCGGGGTTCCAGCCCCTCCCAGACCCCCGGGAGGGCACCCCCGGGCACCGCGGGGGTCTCTTCGTGCCAGGGGCGCTGCTGGTGGGAACTGGTGTCACTGGTGTCTCAGCACGGCCAGGGAGAGAGGAGCGCCTGGATTTGGGGACGGGGAGAGAGAGACACGGGTGATGGTGGGGAAGGGAAGGGCGAGGCTGGCACTGCCACGGGCACAGAGGGACGAGGAGGTGGCAGCACTCCAGACCCCTCCCTCCCAGCCCTGCCCTGTGCCTCGGTTTTCCCAATGGAATGGCTCCATTGTGGGTTTTTGGGAGGAAAACTCTGTTTCTGGCACTGGGGGTCAGTGTTGGTGGCACAGTGACAGCTCTTGGTGGCCCTGGGGGTTCACCACGTCCCTCCCGTGGAATTTGGGGGACACTGGGCGGGGTGGCACCGCCCCTGAACTGCCACCGTGGCTCCTGCTCTCACCTGTTCCCAGGGAAAACGGGAGACCAGGAGATGGAGCCAAAGGCAGTCGGTCCTCAGGGATGCCAGGACACCCCAGGGGACGGAGCTGCCTCCACGTCACCCACCTCCAGGCCCCATTCCCGGCAGGAACACACCCTGGGTGCCCCCTCTGCTCTCACCTGGGTGCCACTGTCCCTCCTCAGCGCTCCTCCAGCTCGTAGGCGGCTTCCAGGTAATCCCTGGGCACGATCCCGACCTCGTCGTTGAGCTCTCCCACCCACCAGCCGTACATGTCGTATTCCTGGGGGGACACGGGCAGGGAATATGGCTCAGGGCCCTTCCTTTGGCTCTCCAGATTCCAACAGAACCCCCCCAATCCCACCTCTCCCCCAGTAAATCCTTCCCCGCCCTTCCTACCCCCCCCTCCCTTGTCCTGCCCCCTTCTCTCTGGGACCTCTCAGAAACTCAACGTTTAATTCACACCCCGATATTTTGGGGGTGTTTAATTTCAAATATCAACCCCCAACCCTCAGCCTGGAGCTCCAGAAGCCCCTCCATGCCTGGATAATCCCTTCCCTCCCCGGATTTAGGTGGGATTTCCTCTCCCCCGCCCCCCAACAGGGAAATAACAACAGGGAAAACTTTCCTCCCTCCGTGTGTGTGCAAGAGGAGGAGTTTGCACAGTCTGGCATCAAAATGGGTGAGCTTGAAAAAATTTAGATGTTAAATTTAGACGTTCCCGGCAGCACATCCCATTCCATGCCTGGCTCTGTTCCCTCACTGCCTGGCTGGGGACATTTAATGTGTCCCCCAAGCTCATCCCTGCTTCCCAGGGGGGAAAAGAGCTCGGGAGAAGGGCTGAGTCACCCGAGACAGACACTCTGCAGAGCCGGGAACGGGTTCCAGGAATCCTGACCCTCTCCGGGTCGGGATCCCGACGCTCCCCAGGGAGCAGCAAACAGCCCGGAGCCGCTGGATGGGAAGGATTGGGGAGGGACAGCAGGATGGAGGGGTGGGAGAACACATCCCACCAGCCAGGAGGGGAAAAATCCTCCCCCTAGAGGGAAAAATCCTCCCGCAAGAAGGAAAAATCCGGGTTTATTCGTACCCCAAACACCCACCTGGGCATGACACCCTGTGCCCACCCCCTCCCTCAGCAATTCCACGCCGTGAGAGGTGTTTTAAAATAATTTCTGCTTTGATGGATCGCCGGATCAACCCAACGATCGCTCATAATCAAAGGCAGGGGGATGCAAATGAAGCAGCAGCCGAGCCCGAGCCGTTTATTCCGCGGTGCCAAAAAGAATTAAAACAACATTAAACTCCCGGCAATAACGTTTAAGTCCTCGTTTCCAAGTGCCAAATTGCGCCACTCTGGATCATACAGATGTTCGTTAATTATGCTAATTTTTATTAAACTATTAAAACGAGGAGAGGCACTGGCACGGCGAGGCAGAGCCCGGCGCAGGGCGAACTCTGCTCTGTCTGGAGACGCTTCGGGGAGGGGGAGAGGGGGAGGAGGGAGCCCGAGGATGGGGTTTTGCTGGAATCTGCCTAATTACCCGCTAATGGGGCCTCTGTGCTCGGTACCTGTGCCGGAGGAGGGGGGAGGGAAGTAATTTAGCCGAGACTTTAGGGAAGGGACTGGGAAGCCGCTGATCGGGAGGGGAATCGCTCCAGGGAGGAGGGAGAGGGGAGGGGGATCTCTGCCCCTT